GAGTTGGTAGGTAGTTGCTTGTTTCTTGTCGCTGTGGGTTGGGTGGGTTAGTTGGGTACATAGATTGATTGTATGGGGGGTATGGAGGGACAACGTACATCCACTGCTTCCGGGGAGGCATTTTGGGCGGTAACCGGTAATCCGGGAGAGATACTCAGGGAAAAAGAGAGGAGGGAGGGGATATAGTTGTGATGGTGAGAATGAAGCTCAAAGATGAAGATTAAATGTTGGACTGAATTTCGGCAGAAAAATCGCGGTCGTGGGATGGTCACGTGCCGCTTATCGCGAAGGGTCCTCACCACCACCTCTGATGATGCCGTTGTATTTTAGTGCATTTAGAGTGATTTCAATATTAGTTGCATTCTTCTATATCGAAATTCTCCCTACTTTCTATCCAAAACAAATCGTGCAGTCTCTTGGACGAACGCAGAAAGTGCTGAGTCAGCCTTATCTTATCCGCGCGGGGTTCGACGAAAATTGCCCGATTGGGTTTTTATCAAACCTTTCTTAATAATCTTCTTTCACTTCTTCTCTTCTTCAACTTCCACCATCCCTGGTGTCTCTCCCTCTCAGTCATCCCCAGGTACAGAGACAACCGTCACCATGGTGCTTGCTAAATCCAAAAACTCCGTCGGGCTGGGCAACAGCCTGATGAACGACCGTTTCGGCAAAGGCAAGGCCTCCAATTTGAAAAAGGCCTCGCACAATGCCGGTATTGCCCGCAAGAACGAAAAGGGCGAGACCTACATCACCAACGCTCCCACCGAAGCCGCCTGGGTGAAGATGCGCAGTATCACCGAGCAGGCCGCCCTCGATGAGTTCCTCAGTACCGCCGAACTGGCCGGCACCGATTTCACCGCCGAGAAGATGAACAACGTCAAGATCATCCACACCGATCAGAAGAACCCCTACCTGCTGTCCGCTGCCGAAGAGAAGTCCGCCGTGAAGAAGCACAAGCAGAACAAGAACCGTTTAACCGTTCCCCGTCGGCCCAAGTGGGACCAGTCCACCACCCGCCAGCAACTGGAGTTGATGGAGCGCGAGAGTTTCCTGAACTGGCGTCGTGGACTGGCCGAGTTGCAGGAGAACCAGGATCTGTTGATGACTCCTTTCGAACGCAACTTGGAGGTCTGGCGCCAGCTGTGGCGTGTCATCGAACGTTCCGACTTGGTGGTCCAGATTGTCGACGCCCGTAACCCGCTGCTCTACCGCTCCGAGGATCTGGAATGCTACGTCAAGGAGATTGACCCTAAGAAGCAGAACCTGCTGCTTGTTAACAAGGCCGACATGTTGACTGAAGCCCAGCGTGCCATGTGGGCTGACCACTTTGAGCGCCAGAACATCAGCTTCCGTTTCTTCTCCGCCCATCTGGCCAAGGAGCGCAACGAACGCCTCCAGCAGGACCTCGACTCGGAGGACGAAAGCGAAGAGGACATTCCCGAGGAGGAGCAGTTGGCTGAAGGTGCCAAGTCTCTGGACATTAAGGACGGCGAAGAACCTCAGGAAGAGCACGACGGTGGTCTTGAACTCAACCCCAGCGCCAGCTCCAGCTCTTCCCGACGCACAGAGATTCTCAACGTCGAAGAACTCGAAGAGCTCTTCCTCTCCAACACCCCCGACACTCTTCCCGACAACGACACGCCCGAGGGCCAAGTCAAGAAGAAGACGACCATCGGTCTGGTCGGATACCCCAACGTCGGTAAATCCAGCACGATCAACGCACTGCTCGGTGCCAAGAAGGTCTCCGTTTCCGCCACCCCCGGTAAGACCAAGCACTTCCAGACTCTCTACCTGTCTCCCGAGATTATGCTCTGCGATTGTCCCGGTCTCGTGTTCCCCAACTTCGCCACCACCAAGGCCGAGCTCGTCGTCAACGGTGTCCTCCCCATCGACCAGCAGCGCGAGTTCACCGGCCCCGCTGCCCTCGTCGCCCAGCGCATTCCTAAGCACTTTGTCGAGAACGTCTATGGCGTGAAGATCAACACCCGCCCCATCGAAGAAGGAGGAACTGGTATTCCCACGTCCCACGAACTTCTCCGCGCCTACGCCCGCGCCCGCGGTTTCGCCACCACTGGTCAGGGTCAGCCCGACGAGTCTCGCGCCGCCCGCTACATCCTCAAGGACTACGTCAACGGCAAGCTCCTCTTCTGTCACCCGCCGCCTGTGCCCGAAGGCAACGACCCCATCGACCCCATTGAATTCAACAAAGACCTCTACGACATGGCCCACCTGCCGGCCCGGCGACAAGCCCAACTCGCCAAACTGCTCCAGAACGAGGAAGTCACGGACCCGGAGCTGCTCGCCTTGATCAAGCCGGTTGAGAAGGGTGCGCGGTCCCGCAACCTCGACACGGGCTTCTTCGGCCCGGGTTCCAAGGGCTCTACGGGCCGTCTCACCCTTCCTTTCAATGCCCAGTACACGGACCAAGGCCAGGAAATGCGCAAGCATTTGACAGGTCGTAAGGAGCGCATGATGGTCGCTCTGGAGCGGGGAGTGGACGTCTCGGAGGTGAAGAGTGGTTCGTCAAAGAAGCATTTCAAGGCGAATAAGCGGCGGGCTAAGAAGGTGCGCAAGAACGCGATGGATGAGGATTATTAGCAGCTGCTCGCGGGCGAGTCTATATCCAGGTTTTCTTTTTTTTGTTCGTTAGATAAGGTTTGGATGGGAAAAGTTAGGTTTCATTACACGATGACTATGGGATTAGGCATGGCGTACTTAAACATGAGTTGGTAGTACGTGGACAGGTGAGGGATAGAGGGAAGGAGGGAGGTGATGACGTTTCGTTATATCCATTGATGTTATTTAGAGCAGTCCTAATTATCAGGACGGTGCATGATGAATATGATTCATGAGACTTTGCATGCAAATCTTCAAACAATACTAATCATCCTATACCAACCAACAATAAACCACCCAAATACTATACTCAACAACCTCTCACAACCGACTCTTCCCCCCAGCAGCAACACTAACCCCCAACAACCTCTCCGCCTCCTCAGCCTGCCACTTCAACTTCCTCCTCACCTCCTCCTTCCTACTCTTATTCTCCCTCCTGCCCATCTGCAACAAATGCACCTCATCCGGTCCATCCGCAATCCTCAACGTCCTCACCCACGCCCACATATACGCCAAGGGCGTATCCTGACAAACGCCCATAGCGCCATACGCCTGCACCGCACGATCAATAACCCCACACGCCATCGTCGGAACCATAACCTTAGCCTGAGCAATCTCCTTCAACGCGCTCTTCGCATCCCCCTGATCAATCTTAATCGCCGCATTCAACACAATCAACCGCGCCGCATCAATCTCAATCCGCGACTTAGCAACCCACTCCAGAATCACCCCGTGCGAAGACAGATTCTGCCCGAACGGCTTCTTCCGCTCGTCGTTGATCCGCGCAATCATCCACTCCAGGGCCTTCTCAGCCGCCCCGATGGTCCGCATCGCGTGGTGGATACGTCCGGGTCCCAGTCGACCCTGGATGATTTCGAAGCCGCGGCCTTCGCCCAGAACGATGTTGGACGCCGGCACCCGCACGTTCTTGAATGTGATGTGTCCGTGCCCGTGCGGGGCATCGTCGTACCCGTACACGGTTAGCATCCGGTGCACCGTGATGCCCGGAGTATTGTGCGCCGGCACCAGGATCACGGATTGTTGTTTGTACGGGTCTGGGTTCGTAGGGTCCGTCTTGCCCATTACGAGGTAGACGGCGCATCGCGGGTCGCCTGCGCCAGAGGACCACCATTTCTGTTACCAGCGTTAGCATATATACCCTTTCTCCAATATACATATATAAAGTAGAAGAGAAACATACAGAACCATTAAGCACCCACTCATCCCCCTCCCTCCTAATCTCCAACTGAATATTAGTAGCATCACTACTGGCGACCTCCGGCTCCGTCATGAGGAACGCAGACCGGATCTTCCCCTCAAGGAGAGGCTCCAACCACTCCTTCTTCTGCTGCGCGTTACCATACTTGGCCAACACTTCCATGTTACCCGTGTCCGGGGCGGCGTTGTTCGTCGCCTCCGACGCAATTGTGCTCTTGCCCAGGTACTCTGCCATCAGCCCGTACTCGAGGTTGCTGAACCCGGCTCCCTGCGAGAAGTGGTTCTTGGGTAGGAACATGTTCCACAGGCCTTGTTCGCGCGCCTTCTGTTTCAGCGTTTCCATGATCGCTGGGTAGGTCGACCAGCGCTGGGCGCCGGTGCCGAGTTGCGCGCGGAAGATGGGTTCCGAGGGGATGCATTCTTTTTCGACGAATTGTTCGACCTATTACTTTATTAGTTGTTTTGTTGGGGGGTGGTGGTGGGGGGATGTAGCTGTGGGAAGGGAGGTATAGGGAGTATAGGTAGGTACCTACCTGGTCGAGGGTACGCTTGGCCCGGTCGCTGACGAAGGGTTGGGCGATGACGGGGATGCGGGTGGAGGCGGACATGATTGATTACTACTTTTGTGGATACTAGACTGGACTTGATTGGAAGTAGGATGATAAGATATGATAGGAAGAAAAAGAATGGAAGTGAAATAGGGAGGATGGGATTATAAGCTGAAGCAAGTAATGCGGAGAACTGAGGTTGCGGAGAAGCAGCCGACCGAACCTCGGCTGATCGGCCGATGAGTCAGCAGCAGCATATTCACGCATTGCATTCATTAACCATCCATAGTTATCAATATGAAAGAATTATCAATCAACCGATTGATTGATTGATTGATGTGACAATAAAGCAGTAAGAAGTAAAGCGTAAGAAGAAGAGGAAGAAAAGCATAAAGCGTGGCCGAATCCCATATCGAGCCTTGATTTTCTCATAAACCCAATCAATCCAAACCGAACCAACAAACACCACAACCGACCCAGAGCAAACCAATGCAGATTAAGAAAAACAACAGAAGCAATGAATCACCCCGGTTACTGGATCATCATGCAATCGAAGTACTGCGACCGGCGCAAACACCGACAGATGTATCCCTTTTTACCCGGAGACGATTTGATAAATCATGCCTCGGTGTTTTCTTTCTGGGCCGACGACTGCTGTTCGAAATTCTTCTTGCCGAGCTTGGCGAACAGGGATTGGGGTTTGCCGGCACTACACACAGTTTATTAGTATCATCTTCAATCTGTAATCTATAGGAAGTAGGGAGCATACTTCTTAAACCGCTTGCCCTTCAGATCGCTCAACTTCTTGGAGCACGGACTCATGATATCATCCGAGGGAGAGACGTAGCTTGCTTGGTTCCTTTACGACAGTCAACATCCGTAAACACATGCATATCTGGTGATTGATACTCACTTATCGCCATTCTCCAGCTTGCCCTGCAACACCTGACGATGATATTCCATCGAGTTGATCTTGGCGGGGGCGGCCTTGAGCTCGTTCAACTTCTCGGTGTCTTGAGCGAGGTGGGTGTTGGTGCGGTCGGTGAGGGGGTGGGAGTCCATTTTGATTGTTTCTTTTTGATTTCAGAATATCTTTCTGATGAGAGAGGTATCTGGTTCTTGAAATGAGAAACAAGTAGTCTTGTAGCAGCAGAGATGTGGAGGAAGAGTCAGTGGAAGGCAGTGGGAGGGAAGAGGATAAGAATCGAAGGCAAGAAAAACCCGTCGATTGTTGTCATGGCAACCACCTCCATTACCACCACCCGAAGATGTCATTCATTGTCTATTCACTTAGAGAGTAAGTAGTTAAGTACATCATTTGTATCAATTATTTGTCCATTCAATAATCACTGTAAATGGTTTGGGTATATACATCGTCTCATCATGTCGCGTAGCTGTACTCCGTACTCCTCTACAATATGTGTACATACAAACATACATATTCCCTGCATCCCCCCTGCACTCTATCCGGTGTCACCAGCTGCTGCCGTGGCCAACACATTTACACTTTCCCCAGGAATGGCAGCCTTCTCGTCACTCAGTCAGATAAGCTCTTCTGCAGCTGTTGGCCTGGAAACACGCGGCCGAGACATCGCCACCGCGCTGAACCTGCAGCCAGAATGCAACCCGTCTGTCATGTCGGGCTCCACATGCCACGACCGCATCATCACTAGGCCTCGGCCACCGCGGCATTCCGTCCATGAGACACGGGTGACTCGCCCGAGCTAGATGATTCTTCAATGGACTCCTCGCCTCCCTTGAGGTCAGGCGGACTACTGCGCGATCGGACTGGTGGCGCCACCTCCGGCAGTGCCAACGAGTCACCCCTGTGGTTCTCTGCCTCCTCCGACGAGCTCATCACATCGGAGACAGGTGTTGGTGGAGAGTAGGCCAGTGTGGGACTAATCGGCCCATCTTCCTGAGAATCCTCGGACAGGTTGCGTCGGTGACCGCCCGCGCGCCGTCCCGACGACGTCGGGCTTACAGACGGCGACCCAAACGGAGGTGATGATGACCGCAGACTGTACGACCGCGACACCATGTTTTGCATGCTTGGCAACTCAATGTAGCTGCTGACGGCGCCGCGCGAGAAGAGTACCAGTCCGAAGCAGAACAGGATCATGATGCTTTGGATGACGGCCACCCGCTTCTGGAAGACCAGTTCATCAGCGAGGACGCCCAGCTGCGCGCTCAGCGAATGCACCTCCTGATGGTACTGGATGCGCTGGTGCTCAAATTCGAGTGCTACGCTCTTCCACACGTTGTCGTACTGCTCGCGGAATTGCTTTAATTCATGAAGCACCGTCACGTTCAGTTGCTCCAGGAACGTCGAGGTCTTGGCCAGCTGTCGTTTCTCAACCTTGTTGAATGCGTCGCGCAAGATCCGCGACTGCTCTTCGATGTACAGTAGTGAAAGACTGGAGTTGGATTCCAGCATTTGTAGTCGCTTATTCACGGACTTGAAGAATGACTCTTGCGTAGTTGGGTTCGCAGAAGGAGGCTGCGTTGCTGTTGACCGCGTTGTCTCCGCGGCTACGCTTTGCTCTTCCTTGGTGAAGCCAGTAGACCGGCTATCGGCTTCACCTTGTGATGTAGTTTCTGGACCAGCCGTTGTAGCAGACGAAGGTGCCGAGTCAACATTCGGGCTAACAGTCACTTTCTGCTCCCCTGCCTCCTTGGCTGGAGCATCGTTACCAACAGACGCAGCATCGTCGCCCTTGGGAGGTGCAGCGTCAGTAGCTGACGGGCGATTAAGAGACGTCTGAGTCCCTTCAACCCCAGCAGCTGGCGAGTCATGAATACTACATGTCTCAAGCACCCCCAGAAGCTGCATCATAACTGTCTCATCAACGACCGGTCCGGGGTTAGGGCAAGTCTCCGGCGTCTGCTCGTCCACCTTCTGCTCTGCCGTGCCTGCTGCAGGTGCAACATCCACCGTAGGGATTGTCTCTATCTCAGCAGCCGCCGGTGCAGGCTCGGGCTCTTCATCAGCCACCACATCGTCTGTCCGACTAACCTCCCCATCATGCTTATACTCCTCCAGCATCGTCGTTCCATGCACGCGAATCAAGCTAAGCGGACAAAAGAACTCATTCCCATAATGCGTGAGAAACTCGATCTTGACATACCGCGCCCAAATAAGCGGATTCTCCACCGCAAACGCCTGAACCTCGCGCGTATTCCTCGCCTCGTAGATGCCCAGCTCGCGCCACTGGTCCAATTTCGCCGGATACCGATCCGACACACTGACGCGAAAGGTGTGGAAGATGGAGCTGAAAAACTCATAGTTGGCCAACACCACCGTATCAACCAGAATGTCATCACACAGCTCCAAAATCAAGAACTTGTTGTTAGCCCGACACTCATTGAGCATATAGCTATCCTTGTTCTCAATCAACACCGACGACGACCCCGTACACTCCGGATTTGTCTTCAGCACCGTCGCAGCGCAATCAAACGACGCATAATTGAACCTTTCTTTGCACGTCGTCCCCGCATCCTTTGACCTCGACACACCCCCAGCCGGCGGCACACCCTGCGCCAGTGACTCCACATCCCCAACGGAACCCCCCTCCTCAGTGGTACCCCCAGTCGACACACGCGCCCCCCAAGACGTCGGCTTCGCCGCCTCCGGCGTATCAGCCCCAAAGCCACCAAAATCCAACTCAATCTCAACATCCTCACCCAGCGAATCCAACGCATTATTAATCCCCGTCGGACGCCGTCTCCCTTCCTTCCCAGCAGCAGCAGCAGCAGCACCGCGCGCGCCCACATTCTCCGCAGACTGGCCAACCTTGGCCAAATTCTGCTTCTTCCAATCCTCGAACGACAAGAAATTCGCATTATCGAGCGGCGACTCGGTATCGAGCTCGTGATCGGGCCGTGCGCTGCTCTCCGAAGAAGCAGCCATGGAGACAGACACAACAGAGAGCGTCTCCTCAGGTGCTTTCAGCAACGGTTGTTGTTGTGCCGCGGAGAGAGAAGTAGCCGGGTCCGCTTCCCATCGCGTCTCCGGACACTGAGGCCACTGGATGAACTCGGCTTCGGCGACTTGCCAACTCGGCGCGGGACATATCGTCTGACTGGGGTCTGCGGTTGTGCCGTCAATCCAGGTGGAGATTAAAGTCATCCAGGGAATCCATTGTGTGGCGGTCCAGCTGGTGGTCATTTTTGACCGGGACTGTGTCGCAATGCGACCTTTCTTCTTTCTTTTTTGTCTGTCTTCCGGACAAGTAGCACGTAAGATAGGATAGGAGGTCGGTGTGATTATTATGATGTATTTCGGGCAAGATTCATTGCGCTATGTACTGTAGGGACTGATGTGTGTATGTAGCTATTATAGACTGGAGGGGAGGGAGGGAAAGAAAGCGAAGACAGTAGTAAAGTTAGTTCGCTCCTTATCAGTAGGCGGCGCGCCCTTTCAGGGGATCGTAATCACACGGATCAGAAGAAGATCCGAGGATGAATGAATGGTAGGAACAACAACCTCTGGGAAAGCAAAGGAGGTCGGAAAAGTAGGTAGGACAATTCGCGCAAGAGGCCACGCGCCAGAAACACCGCCTCTTTGCTCACCGGATGTGAGATGGCGTTGTCGCGCGAAGATAGATTAGTTGAGGGAGAGTGTCTTTCTCCATTCTTTCCCGCGGCGGTCTGGAACGGAGACCTGCCACCGCCTTCTCTCCCGCCACTGGCACTAAAGATAGTGGCATCATTTGCTACTAACTACTACTGACTAGACTATACTAGGTGAAGGGGACAAACCTACGGTGTAGAGGCCGTGAGTCACACCAGAACAGCTGGCAATCTACATTGACCTGACGATGACTACTATGGAGATATCCGGTTTACTCAGTTGACACTACGCAGGCAAGGCAAGTTATCCACATCGAATCATGGTAGATTCCTCTGGCTATCCCCAGTATCCTCGTATCACTCTCACCATACCAGCTAGTTACAGTACAAAGAAACCAGTCCTGCGCCTGGTCGGCACAGTCGCCTCAAGATGTGGATGAATGGTCATAGTAGTCTTGCTTTTCCATGACTTTCTTTTTTTTCATTGTTATCTTTCGTAGATCCCTGGTGGCCTCCAAGCCACCTGCCATCGTCCTCCGCCTGCCTCGTCGTCCAGGCCCCCGTCAAGTTGAACCATTTTCTTTTTGAGTAAGAAAAGTTGAAAAGTTGACATTGTGCAAAGAATGGAAAGGGGAAAGAGAAGAGAAACAAAATCACATCCTCCGCAAAACAATCCCTCCCAAATCCAGCAGATGAGTCACTTTTCGACCGCCCATCCCCATGCTTGCTCCTTCGAAGAGTGCTATATTATACAGGATAGGAATCAAAACACTAGCACCTCCGACGTGAGAGGCTTGCCGAATACAAACATTCTATCGTAACGGTAGAGAAGAAGAGGGGAAAATAAAATATTGAATATAAGGCTGCCGGATGCACCCGGCGCGGGTGCATCTAAGCCGAGTGGAGAGACACGCTTCAAAAATCAATCAAAAAGTAAAAAAGAAGAAAACAAGCCGGAGAAGTTTGGTTGTCGGTAGATAAAGTTGTTTGGAATTTGTCACTCTTGTCAGGGTACTTTGGTCGGTACAACGAACAGGAATCGGATTAGAGCAGAGCGGGAACGAAGGCAGGAGACATGGTTCTTAAAGATGGAGGTCATGCCAGCCACCGACAAGGTCGAGATCCTCATCGATACTGCCATCGTAGTCATGGGGAACCTTCACGTTGGCAGACTTTGGTGACTCCCAGGCATCGCGACGCCGTCCCTTCTCCTGGAAGGGGCGTCGGCGGCGATCCTGGAAGGAAGAAGCCTCTTTCTTGGCAGCCCAAGAGCCGTAGTCGAAGCCAGAAGATCCCAAGCCCCAGTCCTTCCTCCAACTCATGTTGAGAGGGAACTTCTTGCGTCCGAGTGAAGCCTCGGGAGACTTGTAGTTCCTCCTCCGGTCACCCAGAGCAGCCCACTTGTCCGTGTTGGAGTTCTTCGGGGGGCTGTCCGGAGTGCGAGGGGGAGTCTTGAGGCCAGTGGGGGCCATGGGAATATTCCATGACTTCCCAGAAGTCTCCTCGGATGGCACCGAAGGCTTGGGTTGCTGAGAGCGAACGTTAAGCATAGAAGGAGTCACAGAATCCCGAAGGCCTGTCAGCGGGCCACAGAGCTCAGGAACGTTAGCCTCGACAGGGCTGGTGCTTTCGTGGCTCCAGCTACGGGAGTTCTGCTCGCGCCGCTGCTGGAAAGCCAGGTCTTCGGTCTCAGACTCCTCCTCCTCGTCCCACAGATCACTCCAGCTCTTGGAGATCTGCTCGTCCTTCTTCTTACCAAAGACCATGGAAAGAGAAGGCAAAGGCTTGGTCGTATGACTGGGAAGAGATCCGGTGATGGGCACCGGGTCCGATGGTGGAGGGAAACGCAGCTCACCCTTGCGGAAAGCAGATGGCCGGAACGAATCGCCAAGAGCAGACTCCAGAACAGATGCCATGGAGGGAGTGCCTTGGTGAACGGAGAACCACGATGTGCCAGCAGTCTCCGAAGGAGGGAACAGATCCTCCGAGTAACTCTCGTTGTCGGGAATAGCCGACAGCTGCCGGATCTGCTGAGGGGGGCTGGCCTGGAGGGCTTTGGCCCATGGGAACGAATCGCCCTGGTTGATGTGCGGGCTCTGGATGGAAGGCGTCCGGAGAGGCTCGCGGTTGGCACTGGCGGGAACGACCTCGCGGTCATCGGTGCAGAACTCATCCAATGCTTCGTCATCGGTAGTGAAGGAAACAGTCCGCATGATGGAATCACGAATACCAGAAAGGGAGCGCTTCTCGGGGTCGATAGCCAAAGCAAATCTCAGGATCTCAAAGGTATCCTGGGACATGTTGGGGAAGATGTCGAAGAGTGATTGGCGGTCGCGGACATAGTCCGCGAAAAGGATATCGGATTCGGTCGGGGTAGCGAATGGGTTCCGCGCGAAGAGAACGTTCAGCAAGCAAATACCAATCGCCCAGATGTCGGCCTTGGCGGGAGAGTAGCCAGTGGTCGAAGGGTCATACTGCTCCGGAGCCATGTAGCGGTCACTTCCAACACATGCCTCATGACTCCAGGTATCCCGGGTCGCCAGACCCAAGTCACCCAGCTTCATGGATCCATCCTGCATCAAGAAGATGTTCTCTGGCTTGATATCACGATGGTACATGCCATTGGCGTGCATGAACTCGACGGCGCTGACCAGCTGCAACATGAAATCACGCACGTGCTCCGTCTCCAAGGGGCCACGGTTGAGCCTGATAGCCTCATACAGATCGCCGTTGGAACAGTACTCCAAAACGATGTACATGTGAGCATCTGTCTCAAACGAATGGATGAGGTTGACGATGTTGGGGTGGTGAGCAAGGCGTCGGTGGCAGTCGAGCTCTTCGAAACGAGCATCGTACGGCGAAGCACCACCCTTGGTCAGGCACTTGATAGCAACGTCCTGGCCGGTCTTGGTGTCGATAGCAAGGAAGACCATGCCAAACGAACCGTGGTTCAGAGGGGCGACTGTTCGGAAGCGCCCATCAAGGAGCTGACCCTCCACAAAGCTGTTCTTTAGGCACTCCATATCTGATATATACTCGGACTAGACGATGTTCTCCCAGAGATGTTCGTTCCAGTGGTTTATAACGTCGATGGAGGTTATCGCAAGACGGATGCAAGAATGATGTCAAACAACCAGACAACCAAGATGGTCAAATGCCAAGCAGATCTCGACCACCGAGAATAGAAGTAGAAAGATGAAGGCGAATAGAGTAGAAAGAAGACAAGAAAACAACCGGCTTGTTGAGTCACAGTTTCATATAAATACCGGGAAGAGAGGATATGGTGACAAACGAAAAGAAAATGATGACGACGAGTAGGCGCGAAGCGCAGTGCAGATACCCTTAGGAGAAGGGTGATTGACGACGGCTAGGAAATAGTAAAGAGCTGTTATGAGTGCATCTGTATATCGTTTCACAAGTGTAGAGGCGCGAAGCCCGAGGAACGGAAATATGTCGAGAGAAAGAATGTGTCGAAGTGAATGACTATGTCCGGCAATGGGACACCAAATAGAAGGACCAAGGGAGAATAACGCTGCGTAATATCGTGACTTGAACACCAAATGTATAAACAAACAAGGCTCGTAACTGAAAAAGGCCTTCGAACACCAGGCTGAAGGGCCGGAGAGGGGTCGTGACTCAGGGGGGAGGGGAAGTGATCGAGGACGGGACCGACGGCTATAAGGTCATAAGTCGCCCGATGATATATAGTCCGGAGATTTGAGAGAGAGGAACTATATAGGAGGTATAGCGGGGCTCTGGACAACTGGTATGATGGATCTTCAGGCCCGTAGGAGAACGAGGTGAAGAACCGAATACCAGCACCCGGCCCAGGTTGCGCGGCGAACGGATGGACAACTAAGCAGAAGTCGACCTCACAGCAGACGCAGAACCCTCAACACGTATCTCTGCAATTGAAACGTAGCACGCGGCTTTGAGACGGTTGGATTGAGGGAGGGACTCGTGGGTCCGAGGAACTCTCGACGTGGTTGGCTTTGAGATGAGTCACGCAGGGTGTTCGGAAGGCCAGGCAGGAAGACAGCGGCGAGGCAGATTAGACCGTAGAGGACAGGACAAGTACTCTGTTCTGAAGTAGATCTAGTGGGGAAATCTTTGGCAATGTGACCTAATCAGAGGATTGCAAGCAGTACTGTATCGTGTCGCGATAGAGGTGGTGAGGCGAAGAGGAAGATGATGGGGTGGCGATAGTTGATGGGTTGGGTTGGGAAGGCTGATTGGGGAAGCGCGGATGTAGAAGGAGCAATGGATTGGTAGCTGGGAGCGCGGGAACGAAGAGATGATGAAGGATAAGGATAGGAAGGAAGAGAGGAAGAGAAGAGTAGGAGGGAGAAAGGAGGAGAAGAAGTGAAGAGGAAGGTGAGAGTGTAGGTGTGAGTAGGAAGGTGAGGTGGAGAGGATGGATGAGCAAGAGGAGAGAGAGCGAGCGATAGGGATAAGGAGGTTCCGGATGATAGCAGTTGGGATCAGATGGGGTTTAGGTAGGTACGGTAATTCGTAAAAGTACGGGGGGGGGGAGGGTGGAAACGGAGGGAGGGTGACGACTGGACTCTATGCCCTTCCATATTCCTAGTATTTCCT